CGGAGGGGGTGGGGTTCCTCGGGGTAGTTTCGCGGGCACCAAACAGCTCGTCCTGCCCGTGGTGAGGTGGTGAGTGGCAGTCTTGGATGATGAGGTCACCATCACAACACCAACACTATCATCACCACCCAAGACGGAGGACTCTCCCTGCGTCACAGAACACACATTGGCACATGGCTGCAGGGCGCGGCGCAGAGGCAGCAACACATGACAACAATAACACTGTGGCTCACAGAGGCAGGCAGGTATCAGGCGGGAGGCTCCGCAGTGTGTGATCAGTCTTCTGTGGCTCTGTCTGTTGGTCGTGGCCAGTGTTATTGTTTATCATGCAACCATCAGCCGGGTGGCCACGTGTGTTGTGCAGGCGGGGTGGTGCCGGGTCCGCCATGGCGCGGGCGCCTCCGGGAGGAGGAGGGCGCCCCGCGACACGTCGGATCCTCTCCGCTCCTACCACGGACAAGACTAACGTGTGGCCCTGCTAGCTAGCTACCCGAGCTACCTACCTAACGGGTCCTAGCACGCTACCTAACGCCCTCTCCAGGCTCCCCTCGCCTACGTGTGTGCTGCCGCATCACCCCCAACTCTTCCAAAGGCGCCCACTACCTGCCCACGACGACCCCCTCCCAGACACCGGAGACCACTTGTCCACGAGAAATTTGAGGAAACTCAAGGACACCTTGCCCCCACTCGCAGCGGCCTGCACGTAAACTCACTCACTCACTCACTCACTCACTCGCTCGCTCTCTCTTCTAACTCCCTCAACCACCAAATCCAGGTCGGTCAGTTAGTCGTCGGCCCCTCTGCCTCCCTCCCTCTCAAAGTCAGTCTCCTTATACAGTCAAATCGGCTGCACTTCCCTCCCACAAGCCCTTAGGTCCATTACTCCCACCCACCAACACAGGCATTCACACTTTTAACCGGCCCTCATCCCTTCAAATTGTCGCATTCTTCGCCATTCCCTCTATTCCCTTTGAAAAAAAATGTCACTCTTACTCAAACCCACAACCACAGTCTCAGTCTCTAAGTCGCACGGTCGAGATATCAAACCCCTTCCCCCCCAACTCCTCCATGCCACCCATTCCCAATTCTCCCCCTCTTCCATCCCTTCCTCTCTCTCTCTCTCTCTCTCTCTCTCTCTCTCTCTCTCTCTCTCTCTCTCTCTCTCTCTCTCTCTCTCTCTCTCTCTCATATGCATGAAGATAAGTTGTAAAAGACAATAGAAGCCGCAGAATATAAAAATTACGAAAAAAAAAAAAAAACATTCAGAAAACGAGACACAGCAGTAAAGATGAGGACCAGGAAAAAAAACAGAACGAGAAATATGGGGATAGCCAGAAAACGAGAGAGAGAGGAGAGAGGAGAGAGGAGAGAGAGTGAAAGGGAGATGGAGATGGAGAGGGAAAGTGAAAGGGAGAGAGAGAGAGAGAGAGAGAGAGAGAGAGAGAGAGAGAGAGAGAGAGAGAGAGAGAGAGAGAGAGAGAGAGAGAGAGAGAGAGAGAGAGAGGAGAGACGGAGAGAGAGCGACTGAGAGCGAAGAGAGAGAGAGAGAGAGAGAGGGCGAGAGCGAGCAAGAAAACGAGAAAGGACAAGAAAACGAAAAAGGATGAGAATTCAAAGAAAGGGGGTACGAACCGACCGACTTCGTCATCGAGGCAAGGGAACCTGCCCGAAAGGGACACAGAGGAAAGGAGGAAAGGAGGGAGAGGGAGAGGGAGAGGGAGAGGGGGGGAGGAGGAAGAGGAGAGGAGAGGAGGGAGAGAGAGAGAGGAGTGGGGAGGAGAGGTGAAGGAAAGGGGAAGGAGGAGGAGGAGGAAACAAATGGAGAAAGGGTGGAGAAAGAAAGAAAGAAATAAAGCATGTAGAAAAGGGTGTAAAAGGTGGAAAGAATGCACAAAATGAAAAGGACCGAACACAAGGACCCATTTAACGCAAACGGAAAAGAAGAGAAGGAAGACACAAGAGAAGACAGTAGTACGAAGTAACAGACACAAAAAGGAACGTTACACAGGAACAAAATAAGGACGAGGAACAAAAGGAGAACACAGAAGAATAAAACGATAACGGGAAATGGAACCAAAACAAAAACAAGAAAGGAACAAAGAAAATATCCACAAAATCACAAGACAAAGCAAGACCTCAGACGCCCAAGACATGAACAACGCAGACAGACAGACGTGCGACGGCAACGACGACGACGACGACGAAGACGAAATGGACGACACGCGCTCCCTCCCCCCCTCCCCCGAGGCCCAGGAAGGCTCGTCAACCACCACCACACCACGGTGACGACATCAGTGCTAAAGAGTTTCCAGCGGGGGCCACAACCACACCAACTCGTATTTATAAAATAGGAACGCGCCCAAAGGTCACCCACACCAGCCCTCCTACACCTAAATTTGAAATCCTGCTACTATTCTTTTTTTTCTGAAGTTAATTCTGATTTCTTTTTCCTCTCTTCTTTTTTTTCTCTCTCCGATCTACTTTCACTCTTACTCGCACGCACTCGCTCGCTCGCTCGCTCGCTCTTGCATCTCGTTCACTCATTCATTCAACGCTCTAGATTTGTCCACCTCTCTCTTTTTTTGTGTGTTGTACTCATGTACTCAAGTATATAGATATAGAAATACGAGTATATATATATATATATATTCTTGAAAATCTTGCTCAAGAGACTTACAAGGAAGTTATAAAATATACGATTCATCTACGTTTCATGCTGGAAGGAAAAGGGAGTTCTACTTACTACTGTCTATACTGTTGTCGAATTTGGGATGGGGGGAGGGGGAATGGGGGGAGAAAGGGAGGAAGTTGTCAATAGGGGGGGGGGGCAGTCAAAAGGGGGAGGGAAGGAGGGAGCAGTCAACAGAGGGGAGGGAGGGAGGGAGCAGTCAACAGAGGGGAGGGAGGGAGGGAGCAGTCAAAAGAGGGAGGGAGGGAGCAGTCAACAGGGAGGGGAAGGTAGCAGTTTTGCAGTAAGGGACAGAAGTTAGAGATTCTGAAAGTGCACACAATTGGGCATGGTTGGGGCAGGGATTGTAAATGACGGTCTGCAGGGGAGGGAAGAACTACAGAGATGCGTCAATAAATCAATCAAAAAAAGTAGGGAATGAAGGGGCAATGAGTAGGGAGTCAGTCAAGCAGGTAAAGTAAGACAAAAAAAAAAGTCAGTTAGTCGGAGGGAGGGTTGGAAGGAGAGTGAGGACAAGGACAGTCAGTCAAGTCAGTCAAAAAATGGAGGCAAACGACAGAAATCAAGTGAAGTCAAAAGGGCACGTCAAAAAGAACACCAGAAAAGGTGAGAAAAAGATAACCTTTAAAAGAGACAATTAGTATACAGATCAACATGGCTTGTACTGAGAGAACGTCTGGGATTTCAGCATCACTACAAGGTCACGAGACTTGGAAAAAACAGACTGAAAGGGGGAGGGGGAAGGAGGGGGAAGGCCAAGTACTAGAAGTATAAAAAAGAGCGTACATTAAAGATTTGTCTATATAAAATATATATAAAGTATTTTTGGCTGAGGTGCTGATGGTGGTGGTGGAGTCTGCTATATGAGGAGCTGCGATGGTAGTTGTGGTTGTAGATATAAGGTACCCGATGGTGGCGGGGCGGGGGGAGGGCGGGGAGGGGGTGCTGTGCCGCCCGACGCACGCCCTGCAGCGGAGGGGGCGCGGGCGGCGCCGCCACCCCACCGCCCTTCCTCCGCCCCACGCGCACGCACACACGCGCACACACACACGCACGCACGCAGGCACGCGCACGCACTCTCTCTCTGTGGCCTGTACAGCGACGGGCGTGTGGCGTGTGGCGTGTGGGCGCGAGCGAGGGCGGGCACGCCTCGTGGTTTCCTTGTAGTTGTGGTGCTGTGTAACTCTGTAGGAGCCCTCGGCCTCAGACGGAGAGTGTTGCCGTCCCAGCGGAGCCAACGACAGCAACACCCTCTGTAATCTATCACCAACGCGACCAAAACTACAACTTAAATCCAAATCACAAGAGATTATCATCATTTGGCTTGACACAGTCACATGAGCAAAAAAAGAGCTGAACGGAATCTTGAGAACTTTACGGATGAAAAATGGCAACAGTAATACTAATGAAAAATATATCTCGCCCTCGCCCCCAGCCACGTCACAGCCAGTCTCCAAGAAGCCTCCAGGGAAGCCCCCAAGGAAGGCTCCGCGAATATGCCTCCCTCCTCCTCCTCTCCTCCTCCTCCTCCCCCCCTCCTCTCGCCGGGCTTACAGGACAACGGGTGCCGCACAAACGCACGGACTTCTCGCCTCCAGCCTCATGCCCTTCGGCAGGAGATCACCGACGGCGGCCAGGAGGGGTGGAGGCGGGGCCGAGGAGGAACCTGGTGGAGGCTGGCTGTTCAGGTGAAGGTCCAAGGGATGGAGGGGAAGGGGGGGGGTAAGAGGATGGAGGGGAAGGGGGGGTAAGAGGATGGAGGGAGGAAAGGAGAGGGTGGGGGGACGGCAGGATGAAAGAAGAGGCGGTGAGAGGAGGAAAGGAGGGAAGAAGGGAAAAGGAACAGAAGTTTGGCATGGAGGAGGAGGAGAAGGGGTGAAGCGGAGAGAGAGAGGGAAAGAATAAAGTTGAAAGGAGAGAGAGGGGAGGAGTGGATGGGAAGATGCAGGAGAGGAAAGCGAAAAGGACAGCATAAGGAAATCAAAGTCCAAGACGATGGAAAAGACTGAGTAAGGATAGGGGTAACTGCAAGACAGGGAAGGACAGACAGGAATGCACAAAGAACAAAACACTGGGGGGGGGGGGGAGAAGGACAGGGGGAGGGAGAGACAGGGAGGGAAGGTGGTGGAGGAGGAGGAAAGAGGGGAGAAAAGGAATTATACAGGTAAAGGGTTTATCTCGAGACAGAGGAAACGGAGGGAAGGAGGGGGAGGGGGGGTGCAGGGTAGACGAGGGTAGGGAAAGGGGTATGGGACTGGGAGCGACGAGAGTTGGATACGTTAAATCTAGAAAAAATAAATTCGACACTTACCAACATTGGGGTTTGTGAAGTCCCAGCTCTCCGCGTCATTCTTGTACACATTCAGTTTCGTTGGCTGGAAAAAAATGAAAACAATGAATGTATGACCAATAAATATATATACATACCATATCACCAATCTATAATAGGCAGAAAAAAAAATCCCAGTTCCTTCCATCGATCTACACAAGCAAATAAACAACAATGAAATCACTACCGACATGAACCCTGCTCATCATAACAAAACAGCAAAGAGACGGACACGGATCTGCCAGACCCAACCAGTGAGCGTATATTTCTCTTTCCTTTCTCTGCTTCCCATCCCTCCATCCTTCTCCCCTCCTCTGTCTCGTCTTTCCACCCTCCCCTCCCTCCCTCAGCGCCCCCATCCTTCCCTTCCTCCCCAAGCCAAACCCGCGTCGCCAGTGCACATTCCTGTACCCGCATCCACATCGAAACCAACACCGCCATCATCACCTGGCGACAGACGCCCGCACGAGAGCAAAACAAGCTCTTGGGAATTCCGCGAATGCCCGCATACCAACAATAATAATGGTTAAAAACAAAATCAAAAGGGAGTGGGGGGAGCGGGAGAATGTGGAAATAAGGAAGGAGGTGAGGGAGAGGGAGGGAGGGAGGGAGGGAGGGAGGGAGGGAGGGAGGGAGAGGGAAGGAAGGGAAGGAGGGAAGGAGGGAGGGAGGGAGAGGGGGGAGGGAGGGAGAGGGAGGGAGGGAGGGAGAGGGGGGAGATACGAGGTGGAAAGAAAAAAAAAATTCAATCCCCACTGGCGTCTTAACAGGCCAATCAACGCTCGAATGCCCCCAAAAATGCCATAAAATTTCAGAGCCGCAAAGGTGACCCTTCACTAAATAAGCGAATAATTTACCGCACACACTCTTGGGATGTAAATACCGCCGGGGAAGAGTAAGAGGAGAAAGAAGGGGGAGAATGAGGGATGATACAAGGATGAAAGAAAAGCTGAGGAAGAAAGAGAGAGAGAGAGGAAGAGAAGAGAGGAGAGGAAAGGAACTAAACTCAGAAAAAACCCTCACAAGTGATGCTTACACATACTGAAACGACTATCCAGGTAACATACAGGTGTACTGTCAAGCGTCACAAGGTACAAGACTGGCGAGACTCCTGCCAACATTCTGATTAGGTGATCGCGATGAGTGGGGGAGGGGGGAGGGGGGAGGGGGAGGCAAGGGGGAGAAGGGGAGGGAGAATATGGGGGAGAAGCGGGAGAAAATGAGGGAGAAGAGAGATAGGAAGGAGAGAGGAATACGAAGAAGGTCGAAGAGAAGAGAAGAGGGAGAATGAAAGGGAAGGGGAAGGAGGATGTGAGGAGGATGTGAGGATGTGAGGAGGAAGAGGAAGAAGAGGAGGAAGAAGAGGAGCGGAAAAAAAAGACTGACGAGTCTTAGGAGGGAAAGTTATGACGGACAGATATGGCGGGTTTTTGGCAGGTGAAGTAATGAAACCCGCGTCCCATCTCCCGCTGCTTCGACTGGTCCCCCTCCCCCCTTCCCGACGTCGCTCCCCTCGACTCCCCTCGGCGCAGAGTCCAACGCACGCACTCCCACTCCCCGTCTCGCTCACAACGCGTCTCCCTTTCACCTTTATAAAGGCGCGGTAACGGGCGCTCCCTTGCCCTCCGTGCGGCCCCAGTGCCCTCCAAGCACCGGATCCTCTGTGCCTGCTTGTTTACCTGCTTCCCTACTTGCTCCTTCCTTTCTGCTCTGTATTCTCCCTTCTTTCCTGCTTACTACTGCTCTGCCCGAATCCTTTCCTTCCACCTTCCTCCCTTCGTCCCTCCTTTCTGTTCCGGATTTATCCCTTCCTTCCTCCCTCTGTCCATCCATTCTTTATTCTGATTTTAGCCCTTCCTTCCTTCCTGCTATCATTCTTATTTCTTTCTGATCTGTCCTTATCCATCCCCCCTCTCCCTCTCCCTCTCCCTCCCCCTCTCCCTCTCTCTCCGTCCCTTCCTTCCTAGTGATCTGCTTCCTTCCCTCACGTTGCTTCCCCCCCTCCACCCTCCACCCCCCTCCTTAGATGGTATGTGATCCCGGGCTTATTGCTGGCCCCGAAAGAAAGAAAAGAAGTTAAACAAATCACCGGCCATTGTCATAAAAAGCTTCAGCCTCAACTTCATTTCACCGCTCGCGAGAGATAGGAGAATGGGAAGGAGAGTCGTGGCGGGGAGAGGGGGAGAGAAGAGAGGGGAAGGATGGGGGAGTGGGATGGTGAAGGAAGGCAAGAAGAGAGGGGAAGGATTGGGGAGTGGGAGTGGGAGTGGGAGTGGGAGTGGGAGTGGGAGTGGGAGTGGGGATGGGGAAGGAAGGAAGGGGAAAGGGTAGGGGGAGGAAGGCGTGTGTGGCTTTAAGTAACATGCTCGTGAAAAGCACTAGCGTCGGCCACCCACCACACGCGCCTTACCTGGCCGAATGATCAGCCCCTGCTTGCAACAACGCTGCAACGGCCATTCCTGACCGAAAGCACCGCCACAGACCCTGGCCGATCGCATTACTGGTCGGCTGATGGCGCAGCTCAACGCAACGTATCTGGGGCGAGGTCTGGAGTCATTCATTTCTCCCTTTCCTCTTCCCTTCTTTCCTTCCTTCCTCCTCAGCCTTCTTTTCCCTTTCCTCTCCTCCAATCGGCAGCAAGAAGAATCATTACGGACAGGTAATACGAAGTGAGAGACGCGGGGAGGGGGTGGGTGAAGAGAGGAAGAGAGGAAGAGAGAAAGAAAGAGAAAGAAAGAAAGAGGGGGGAGGGGGAAGTGGGGGAGAGCAGCACGTGCTCAGTAACTTATTAAAGCGCTGGTCGTTCGGCGTTGGTGTCCGCCCTCCCGACTCCCCAGTCAGTCTGTCAGTCAGTCAGCGGTCTGCTATGTTGGGCACATCATGTGGTGTATCATGTGGCCTGCGCCGTAAAGAACATGATTCATGGCACGCGGGCACTCTCATTTCGGGCATACCAGAACCAAGACTGACATGCCACACCGGACAACGTCATCACTCTCCCTTGCACTCCCCCCCCTCTCTCCTTTCTCCTCTCCCCCACTCCCCCGCCCTCTGTGTTACCTCAGCGACCCACATGTCGGTCTCTTCTACATACAGGGTGGAGGGAGAGATGGAGACAATAAGGAAGGATTGAAGGGGAAGATGGGAAGAGGAACGAAAGGAAGAGAAAGAGAGGATAAACAGGGAGACGGGACGGACAGAGGGGGGAAAAAGACCCAGGACAGACGGCGGCCGCGCTGAGGAAAACTTTCGCACTTCCTCCGTCCCGACGCCCCCCTCCCTTACCTTTCCCTCCCGTAACGAGGTGTTGGTGGGCGAAGCGGGCGCGGCAATGAACATAACATATTCCTCCGATGGCTCCAGTTGGCCAGTTAGCGACACGCGTCAATAACGTAACACCCAACTTCGGCAAAACTTCTCCTCCCAGAGGGAGAGAGAGAGAGAGAAAAAAAAAACGGTGTGAATTTTACGGCCGTTTTCCTTCTTTCGAAAATAACAAACATGTAAGCTAGCTCTCTCACTCATTCACTCGCTCATTCACTTCCCGAATTCATCAGAGTTTAGACGTGCGTACAGACATAACATATACATTTTTCCCGCTATTCCCGGCGTTTAAAACTGCCTTCTCAGGACGAATGGAAAGCTCTTAGCATTTAGCCATTACCGTATGCTAATGTCCCAACGTTTCCCCTTCCTACTACCCCCCCCCCCTTCACCCTTCCCCCCGGATCAATAGCTGGGGATGATCGTCTCATTAACCCGAATATGCAACGCGTCTGCCACCTCGTCCTATTTACATCGCCCCTTGCAACTCCCGTCAACTGCAGGTACTTTGCAGCATCTCCAGAATCGCCTGTTTTTGCTCTCCCTCTCTCTCTCTCTCCCTCTCTCTCTCCCTCTCTCTCTCCCTTTCTCTCTCTCACTCCCTCTCTCTCTCTCACTATTGACTTAAGACAACTCCGCCTCCTCCGTCTTCTTAAGTTTTCCCGAGATTTGCAAGTCTGATGCGCTCGCAGGCGGGTGAAGTCTTGTTCTGTCGGACGGGAGAGAAGGGGGAGGGGGGCAAGGAGGGGAGGGGCAAGGAGGAGCAGGATGGCGTGGCGAGGAGGAAAAGAAGGTAGAATTCTCCCAACGAGGCAGCGGGGGAGGCGGGTACCTACGGTGACGCAGGAAAAAGAAGACAGGGATCGACAGTCGCGCCGGCAGCGCTGGCGAAGAGGATCAAACGTAAAAAAAAAAAAAAAAAAAGTAGAAGTACAGAAATGTACCCCATCCCCTTACTACTCCTTCCGCTTCCCCTCACTACTACTCTCCCTTCACCCTCCTCGAAATGTGCGTGGTAAATAGACACCTCGCGAAGGTTATGTACAATCGACACCTCTCTCCCCGTATCAATAATGCAAAGCGTTTCGTGCGAATTCTAGCATGCGCTGCGACAACCGGCAAATCGGCCGCCCGAACACCCACGACTCGTGAAATCAGCGTGTTTGCTCAATGTTGTGCCCCGTCCAGTTCAAGGCTAGGGGTTTCCTGTGTCTTCCCCATGCCGGCTCTTAAACTAATATATCCAATGGAACATTAGTCATATACCTCAGGTCAGTCGCACACCCCCTTGGGTCACGCACGGGTCATCACACAGCAATCGCATTGAATCGCCAGGTCGTGCACCGGTGTCCCACGCGATATTCCTATATCCTACGGGTTAACATACTACTCGCGTCGTCCCCATAGTACTTGGAACACAAACCTCCCTCGTCTCATTCACGTCATGCTACCCCCCCCCCCCTTTCACCCTTCCCCCCGGATCAATAGCTGGGGATGATCGTCTCATTAACCCGAATATGCAACGCGTCTGCCACCTCGTCCTATTTACATCGCCCCTTGCAACTCCCGTCAACTGCAGGTACTTTGCAGCATCTCCAGAATCGCCTGTTTTTGCTCTCCCTCTCCCTCTCCCTCTCCCTCTCCCTCTCCCTCTCTCTCTCTCTCCCTCTCTCTCTCCCTCTCTCTCTCTCACTATTGACTTAAGACAACTCCGCCTCCTCCGTCTTCTTAAGTTTTCCCGAGATTTGCAAGTCTGATGCGCTCGCAGGCGGGTGAAGTCTTGTTCTGTCGGACGGGAGAGAAGGGGGGAGGGGGGCAAGGAGGAGCAGGATGGCGTGGCGAGGAGGAAAAGAAGGTAGAATTCTCCCAACGAGGCAGCGGGGGAGGCGGGTACCTACGGTGACGCAGGAAAAAGAAGACAGGGATCGACAGTCGAGCCGGCAGCGCTGGCGAAGAGGATCAAACGTAAAAAAAAAAAAAAAAAAAAGTAGAAGTACAGAAATGTACCCCATCCCCTTACTCCTCCTTCCGCTTCCCCCTCACTATTACTCTCCCTTCACCCTCCTCGAAATGTGCGCGGTAAATAGACACCTCGCGAAGGTTATGTACAATCGACACCTCTCTCCCCGTATCAATAATGCAAAGCGTTTCGTGCGAATTCTAGCATGCGCTGCGACAACCGGCAAATCGGCCGCCCGAACACCCACGACTCGTGAAATCAGCGTGTTTGCTCAATGTTGTGCCCCGTCCAGTTCAAGGCTAGGGGTTTCCTGTGTCTTCCCCATGCCGGCTCTTAAACTAATATATCCAATGGAACATTAGTCATATACCTCAGGTCAGTCGCACACCCCCTTGGGTCACGCACGGGTCATCACACAGCAATCGCATTGAATCGCCAGGTCGTGCACAGGTGTCCCACACGATATTCCTATATCCTACGGGTTAACATACTACTCGCGTCGTCCCCATAGTACTTGGAACACAAACCTCCCTCGTCTCATTCACGTCATGCTACTTCCCCCCCTCCTCATTCACCATTCATTCCTCGGACTATCCGCAGAGGATGCCGGGGTCAACACGTCCTGCGACCCGCCCCCCTCCCCCCTCATCACCCCTTTCCCTCCGAGGACGTCTCACGACACACTTCAGCTTCGTGGGTGTAGGCGTCCCATGCAGACATTCCTTTCTGATACAGAAAGAGGGGAAAGGGAGAGGGGAAAAAGAAAAAAAAGGAGAAAAATATGAAAAAAGAGGGAGAGAGGAGCGCCAGCCTTGGAGACACGTGCGCCTCTCAGCTTGCCTCATCAACATGGCACTAACCACGATACTAAACCCAGCGTAATTACCAGGTCCATTGGCTCGCCCAGGTGAGGGGGTGGGGGAAGGGGAGAAGGGGGAAAGGGGGGGGGAGGGAAAGATGGGACGGGGTGAAATGGAGAATACAAGAAGAGGGAGAAATGTGGATCAAAGGGGGTGGCAGAGAAATAATTTAAGAAGGGAGAGGAAGAAGGGTATGTAGGTAAGGAGCAGAGGAAATAGGCGAATACTGGGGAGGGAGGGAGGAGACCAAGGGGGGGGGAGTGAAAAGGACAGAAGGCGAATAGGAAAAAAAGTAGGATAACAGTACTAAACAGAATGGAAAATAGGGGAAAGGGGTCAGAAGCTGCGGATGAACAGAAGAAGAGAGAAGAGAGAAGAGGAGAGAGAAGAGGAGAGAGAGAGAGAGAGAGAGAGAGAGAGAGAGAGAGAGAGAGAGAGAGAGAGAGAGAGAGAGAGAGAGAGAGAGAGAGAGAGAGAGAACCGAGTGAGTTATTCTTGGTAGTGACCCAGTTAGTGTCCCTCTGCTGACGAAATAGTTTAATATCCAGATAGTGCAGTGTCAGCCAGGAAGACCCGGGCGATGTCAGGCGTGTGTCAGCGCGAGTGCCAGCCCTGGTGTTGTGCAGATTACGGCTGACATCCCCCCTCCTCCCCCCTGCCTCCGCCCGCCCGGTGGCACAGTGCCGGACGGGGCCATCATAAATTCCTCAGGAGCCAGGGCGAGGGCGGGTGAGATGGGGGGCAGAAGGTAGGTAGGTAGATTGATGGATGGATGGATGAGCGAGCGAAACCCTCGCCGCTGGCGGCACAAAGTTGTGACTGATGGGAAAACGAAGGGAGAGAGGGAAGAGGAGGAAAAGGAAATGGAAAAGGAGAAGGGAAATTACAATTAAAAGGTGGTGGGAAAGGGGTGAGGCTAGTGGCGAGGTTAAGGGGGACGAAGATCAAAGGGAAGCATCATGATACATTAAATTACAGCGGATGCGTCAGAATCACCATCCCCGATTAACGACCGGGCCAGACTCGATAAAGCCTGACAATTCATTCATAAAGGTCCTTATTAGCATCGCCCTATGGTCATCCCCGACGTCCACGGCCATTAAATCCGAACAGACAGGGACTTGTATTGCACACAGCTGTAACAGTATATGCACTAGCAAACTAGAAATCGTTCCTGTCTGTCTTCCTTCCATTCCCCCCCTCCTCCGCCCCTCCCTCCTCCTTCCACTCTTCCCCCTCTTTCCTTCTTTCCTTCCTCCTACTACGCCGCCTGCTTCCATCTTGTCAAGACCGCAAAGCATACACACTCGCTGACGGCGTAAACTATACAAGCCACACCTGTATTGGATCAGAGCAAGGACGCGGGACTGAGTAAGAGAGAAGGGGGGAGGAAGCGAGAGAGCAGGGATGGGGAGGAGGGGGAGGGAGCAACAAGGAAAAGGTAACGGAGAAGAGGAAGATGGAGAGAGGGGAGGAGAATGGCGAAGGCTACCGAGGAGGAGGAAGAAAGGAGCCAAGGAAGATGAGGAAGAGCAGTCACTAGAGTAAACACACCCAAGTTCAAGACACAAACGTGAACACAGGATCTTTGATGTATATGAAAACAAACAGGAACAAGAAGACTTCACGTGAAGAGATCTGGCTTCAGCAGATTAGCCAAGCATAAAACCGCACCAAGCGCACACGCATGCGCACACTACTCCTCGAGAAAGAGATGAGCAAAAGGGGAGAGAGAGAGAGAGAGAGAGAGAGAGAGAGAGAGAGAGAGAGAGAGAGAGAGAGAGAGAGAGAGAGAGAGAGAGAGAGAGAGAGAGAGAGGGGGGGGAGGAGTGAGTGAGTGAGTGAGTGAGTGAGTGAGAGAGAGAGAGAGAGAGAGAGAGAGAGAGAGAGAGAGAGAGAGAGAGAGAGAGAGAGAGAGAGAGAGAGAGAGAGAGAGAGAGAGGGGGGGGGGGGGGTCCGGAGTATGTGGGCGCCGCTTTTGAGGATACAAGTTTAGTGTGTGTGGCGCGATTCAGGGTAGGAGAGAGGAAGAAAAAGAAGGGGAAAGGGTGAGAGAAGGGTTCAGGATGGGGGAGAGGGTAGGGGGTGGAAGGAGGGAAAAGGGTGGGGAGAAGGGGAAGGGTGAGCGGCTGGAATCAACTTTTGTGGATGGGAAGCGAGGCGTGCAAGCCCCTAGAATTTTTTATGACGTGGTCATCACAGCTACTCTTCCCTTTCAATTTTCCTATTTCATTTTTTATATCTATCCTCTCCCTGTTCCCCCTCGTCATCCTGCTGTTCCCTGTGGTGACTCCTACCTAGCTGCTCCGCCTTAACGAGTCAAGAAGCCCAGCTAGCAATCCCTCTATTCTCACTCATTACAAAGCGAAGCTCTTCAGGAAAATCATCTCCCATCATCACCATCCTCGCTTTTACTCACTCACTCAACCATCCTTATATGCGCGCGCGCACACATGCTCACGCACATAACTCACTAACACACACACTTGTCACAACATACAGCCACATGATTAAAATCTGATACAATCGGGTGGGTGGAGGAGGGGGCAAGTGTGGGAGAGTTTGATGCAGCTCCCTGCGTGGTGGGGGGGAAGGGGAGGGGGAGGGGGAGGGAAGGGGTTGGCACAGTGCCAAGCATCACCACAGGGGCGGAATTAACCGACGCCCACCATCCCCTCCTGCACGGCCGCCCTATCCTTCCGTGTGCCTCCCGCTCCCACAGGATCCATATCTCAGAGTCTGAGGTTCCCCTTTTGGTACGCCCACCGCCGACCCGCCCACAAACCCGATGTCCTCTCCTACCAGGACCAGGCTCTCGAGACCACAGGTTTTTCTCCGCCGGGGCCCGGAGACCATAGCGCCTCCCGTTCCCAAGGCAAGAAATCACAACCTCCCCTACCCAACGCAAGGACTGGAGACCCCCCCCCCCCCGACACTCCGCACCAACACGCAGGAAATCAAGACCAGCAAAGCATCTACTGTTGCCCCCCCCCCCTTTCCCCCCTCAACGAAGAACAAAGAACGAAAGAACTCTTTAAACACTCACCTTTGCGTACTCTATCCTGAGGGTGCAGCATCCGGAGTAGATGTCGGCGCCCTGGAGTCCCTCTCGCGCTCGGGTGGCCGGCTCGATCCCGTCGAACGTGGGCGTGAGTTAAGGAAATTAATCTATGGGTGTTGATCGAGGAGGAAAAAAAAAAAAAGGGGGGGGGGGGGAGAGAAAGATATGGATGACAAAGATTGCGAAAACGTGTGCGCGTCATTTATGTGGATTCGTGAATGTGGAAGCAATGTATCCGACAACGAGAGAAAACACACGCTGATGAAAGAAAAAAAAGATGGTGATGTGTTCGTGAGACCGATGTGGGTTGGCGAATGCGGTTGCAAAGTATCCGATAACGAGGGGAAAATTGCGAGAGCGGGATTGTGACTTTGTGACTGAGTGTGTGTGTGTGTGTGTGTGTGTTGGCGGTGTCCTTCGTCCATTTTTTTTTCATGGGTGGAGTAACACAATACAAGGCCAGGTATGGGTTGCTACGCTGAGTCACCTCCCTACCCCTCCCTCTTTCTCTCTTTCTCTCTCTCTCTCTCTTAGTAATTAGATTCGAAAGTGCTTTCACGTCCCCGAAGGCAGGAGGCCAGACGGATATGAGGACATCAAACAATCCCCCCTCCGCAGAGGGAGGGAGGGAGGGAGAAAAAGAAAAGAAAAAGAACGAGAAAGGGAGAGGGAGAGAGAGGGGGAGAGAGAGGGAGAGAGAGAGAGGGAGAGAGAGAGAGAGAGAGAGAGAGAGAGAGAGAGAGAGAGGGAGGGAGAGAGGGAGGGAGAGAGGGAGGGAGAGAGGGAGAGAGAGAGAGGGAGGGAGAGAGGAAGAGAGAGAGGGAGAGAGAGAGAGGGGGGGGAGAGGGGAGAGAGAGGGAGAGAGAGGGAGAGAGAGAGAGAGAGAGAGAGAGAGAGAGAGAGAGAGAGAGAGAGAGAGAGAGAGAGAGAGAGAGAGAGAGAGAGAGAGAGAGAGAGAGAGAGAGGGAGAGAGAGATGGGGGTGGGGGCATCAAGACAGCAGATGGCCCAGTTCTCAGACTTGCGAAGGACCTTATTTACCAGCAGCCAACAACCCCCGACCCACCCCACCCCACCCTCGCCGTCCGCTTGTAATCAGGGCGCGCGGGATCGTTTAAATGTTATGAATTCCCGGCATACATTACACCCTCATTTCCAAAGCTAAAAATGCCTCGGCGGGTCAAGTGCTTCTCTCGAGGGAGCTGGAGGGAAAGGAGAAGCAGAAGGATAAGGACGGACGGAGGAGGAGGAGGAGGAGGAGGAGGAGGAGGAGGAGGAGGAAGAGGATACGATGGGATAAGAAGGGGAAAAGGAGAATAATGAGAAAAGGAGAGGTTTGTGGAAAGGCTGGAGAAGCTAAAGAAGAGAGAAAATGAAAGACGGCAAGTAGAGGGGAGAAGAAAATGAGAAGGTGGAGGTTGCAGGATGATGATGTCAAAGACAAAGTATAGGGCGCAGTTAAAAGCGAAGAGCCTGGCACGGGCGAACGGGCGACGCAGCAGAAGAGATTGGCATCTTGACCAAGCCTTCCACTTGGGGCCAGATCGTATTCAACATCAATTATCTCGACATCTATGTCAAGACCAGCCCCCGCCCCCCACACCAACGCCTACCCCCACCCAGCTCCTCACACTTCATCAAGTGACATACCGCCCACCTCTACCTCCACCTGCAACCCCCCCCCCTGTCCTACTCCCTACCTCATACCCTTCCTTTGCCTCACTTAATTAAGCAGGTTTTCCTAACCCCTCACACCAAAGTGCCCCGAATTCTTGTCTCTAATATAATCCTTAACCCTAAATACTTTTTATCCCTCTCTTTCTCTCATCCTTCGCCTCCCCACATGCCGTCCATCCTTTCCTTTTCTCGTCTCTTATTTGTTTCTGCTCTCCCCCCCCCCCCCCCCTCCTCTTTTCTCGTCCACCGCCCGGGACCTTCCAGTTGCCTTTCCCCTCCGCCCGCGCCGTCTGTCAGGAATTGTTAACGCCTCGACCGAGCCATGGCGATGGCATTCGCCTCGACAGCACCCCTATCTCACCCTACTTCCCCTCCGCCTCGCACCGTCCTCGTAACACTATTCTTGTTGCCTTTTCCCTCCTACAACGACTAATACTACTTCTCCCTTCTCCCCTTTTCCCTCCTACAACGACTAATACTACTTCTCCCTTCTCCCCTTTTCCCTCCTACAACGACTAATACTACTTCTCCCTTCTCCCCTTTTCCCTCCTACAACGACTAATACTACTTCTCCCTTCTCCCCTTTTCCCTCCTACAACGACTAATACTACTTCTCCCTTCTCCCCTTTTCCCTCCTACAACGACTAATACTACTTCTCCCTTCTCCCCTTTTCCCTCCTACAACGACTAATACTACTTCTCCCTTCTCCCCTTTTCCCTCCTACAACGACTAATACTACTTCTCCCTCCTCCCCTTTTCCCTCCTACAACGACTAATATTACTTCTCCCTTCTCCCCTTTTCCCTACTACTCTACTACTACCACTACCTTCTTTCACCCTGCTACTCCCTCTCTCCTACTTCACTCTTAGCTCTTCCCGCTATCCTCCCCCCTTCCCCCCCATACCGTAGAGAGAAAATGGCGTAGATGTGGAGGTGTAGGTGGGATGTGCCCCTCCCTTCCCCCTCCTCCCTTTCACAACACAACTGTTTGCCAAAGCATTTCTTCACACTCGCCGCCAAGCACTGTCACCGCGTCGGTCCGATGCAAGCAAATCAAGGGCAGCCACGGGAGGCTTTGAGGTGTGCGTCATCGCCACCATCAGATGATGGAGGAGGAAGGAGAAGGAGGAGGAGGAGGAGAAGGAGGAGGAGGAGGAGGAGGAGGAAGAGGAGGAGGATAAGGAGGAGGATGATAAGGAGGAGAAGGAGGAGGAGGAGGAGGAGGAGGAGGAGGAGGAGGAGGAGGAGGAGAAGGAGGAGGAGGAGGAGAAGGAGGGAGGAAGAGGAGGAGAAGGAGGAGAAGGAAGAGGAGAAGGAGGAGAAGGAGGAGAAGGAGGAGGAGAGGAGAGGGGAGAAGGAGCCGACGAAGGAGGAATCACAGGAACGGCAGACAGCAATAGCAGACGAGCGCGGTGACCGTCCTCGGCCAAGTACGAGCTTCGACCTCTTGATTTCTCTACAAACACTAAAACTTCCTGACATGTTTACACAACTCTTTTTCTCCCTCTCCCACGCCCCCTCTTTCCTTCTCTCTTCCTCCTAACCGCTCAGAGCTTCTCATCCTCGCTCTCCCAACTTCTTCCCCATCCTCCTTCCTTCTTTTTCCCCTTTGCCTCTTCCTCCATAAACCTCTCGCTCACCTTCTCCTGTTCTCACAATTCCCCGATTCCCTTGCACTCCCCATTTATTCAATCGCCTCGATATTCCACTCGCCCAACACACTTACCACTATCGTCCTTATATATATATTCTACCCTCGCACACTCACGGATTCCATCATTATTAGCCTGTTCTCCCTATTCATAAATTACACATTTTCCACTCATCACTTCATAGAATACAATAAGGATACATTAGCATAGCATTTTCCATAACCAGCAACCACATGGCTACAGAAATGACAAAGTGTGAGAGTGAATAATGAAGAAGAAAGTTAACTGAAGGAATGGGTCAATCATGTTTTTCTTCGTCGAAGCGGAACTGAACATGAAAACTAGTGCGTATAATACATCCAAACGAGAATAAAGGGAAAATGTGCAACAAAACACTTCTCAGTGTTCAAAGTTCAAGTGATTGCTTAAAAGGATATTCAACCATGGCCTGGACGCCATTCTTCTTGAAGATAACAATACGCAGGACATTTCCGTAGGGCTGGCAAATGGTGTGTATCACATCCTGAGGAAGAGAGAGAGAAAAAAATTAATACATGATATCATATCCGTTGTTGTGAACCATAAACGAGAACAATATACTATTTGTCATGTTTTCGTTGCAGTTACACACTTAAGATTAGCTTTATGTATGTACAAATCTGAACTGTAAAATAAAAAATAAAAGACTAGGAGACGGATGAAGGAAGAGGAGAGGGAGAGAGAGTGAAAGGGGGATGGAAATGGAGAGTGAAAGGGAGATGGAGATGGAGAGAGAAAGTGAAAGGAAGGAAGGAAGGGAGAGAGAGAGAGAGAGAGAGAGAGAGAGAGAGAGAGAGAGAGAGAGAGAGAGAGAGAGAGAGAGAGAGAGAGAGAGAGAGAGAGATCAATACATGATACGGCACTCTTCGCCAATAGTTTGCTATAAAGAGATTAAACGAGCTTCCATTGCACAAGAAATAATGGGGGATTACCTGATAAAGAGAGAGGGGGGGGGGCAGAAAAGGAAACTGATAAGACTGGCAAAATCGGACCGTCCACTGGGATTACTTCATCGGCTCTTGGGATTAGGATCCCGTATCGGAGAATAGAAAGAATTACAGGATTGAACACACACACACACACACTCACTCACTCACTCACTCACTCACTCACTCACTCACTCACTCACTCACTCACTCACTCACACACACACACACACACACACACACACACACTCACTCACTCACTCACTCACTCACTCACTCACACACACACACACACACACACACACACACACACACACACTCACTCACTCACTCACTCACACACACACTCACACACTCACACTTACGGCGACCCCCCCCCCCCGGCCTGCCCCTTCCGAGGTCCGGCCCCACCATCGCCTTCCGAGCATCGATAACCGCGCGCACGTAAACGGCCTCCGCGATAACTCGCTGCTTCGTGGAATAGCTCACCGATATTCCGAAACGCAGCATTGGAGAGAGGGGGGGGGGGGGAGCGAACACAACGTGAGAGAGGACGACGATGATTCAGGGCATAGAAACCGGACTAAATCAGTACCCACTGCTTTGTATAAAACAGTAGCGGTAACAGTTCAGTAGCAGCGACAATACCAACATCACCAGCTACAAGACCAGATGCAGCTACAACACCACCACTACCTCCACAATCACCAAGAGCAGCCGCCTCCCCCCGTGGCTGCAGCCGCAGAATTGCGCGAAGGTGACCGAACAGGTGAGGGCGGCCGCGATATGGCTCGGTTTCTCCCAAGGCGAAACGCGACACCCGCTGCTGCCAAAAAGATGGCGAGCCCGTTGTAACCTTAGCGCTCTGCCTCCGCGCGGATATCACCACCTCGCCACTAAACACTCGCACATACGCCATATACAGGACAGGCACAAATTCGCTACTAAAATTAACTAAAAGCGATCTTTTTAGGAGCCCAAAACGTTTCCCCAACGGCCACCGCCGCCGCCGCCAGCAGGGGGCTCGCATAATTCCCCAGGCAGATCAACGTTAAAATCGCGAGGCGTGCTACATGTCTGCCATCGTCTAAGGCCGAGCCAAGGGACTATAATCTCTCTTTCCTAATGTCGGTCTTCAAATTTCAACTCTTTCAGTCGCTTTTAATTACTTGTATCCTTTACTCCACGTGTGCTTGGAACTACTCACGGGCAATTTTGCCTACTTCCAAGATATTTTCGGACCATAAAAAAGAGGAATATAGCCGTTGCCTCATTCGCCTCTCGTACCCCTCCCTCCTCCCTCCCTCAACGGAGCAAGCGAGCTTTTTCCCCGACGAGACGACGACTCGGTTCATCCGCGCCCCAGCCATTAACCTGCCACTCGCTGATACCATCGCCTCGTTCTTCTCCTTGAATCTGCATCTCCATCTCGGCCGCTTCTCCCTCCAGCTCACGCTTTTGATCTGCTCTTCAATTCACTCTGCCTGCCTACCTTGACTACCTGTCTTCCATCACCTTCCCCACTCTTATTTTTCCCTTGTCTTACCTGCCTTTATCACCTTTCCCTCTTCTGTTTCCCCCGGTTTCTCTTCCTTTCCCACTTTGATCCCCCCCCCCCATCGTTATTCCCTTCTGTTTCCCACCTTTTCCCCTTGCAACTTTTCCTTGCCTCTCTTTCCCCAACCTTTTGTACGATGGTATAGTGTAGCTGGCCACGCAAGCTGCCCTTCCTCCCCTCGACAAGTGCATCCCCCCCCCCCCGCCCCTGATAACACCTGTACAACCGTTACGTCAATAGTATGTAAGAGTGGGTGTCTTAACGACTATGGCGAAACGACGCGCTATAAGAGAACACAGTGGATACAGAAAATCGCAATTCACTCCTTGGTTACTCTGGTAAACAAAAAATACTTACAAATGAGTGTAATTGTCTGTCTATCTGTCTATCTATCTATCTATCTACCTACCTATCCACACGCACGCACACTGCTCGAAGTTCTACCTTACCCTCACCTTCACGAGTCCTAAATGGAAAAAAAAAATTAATATACCCACTCGGCACTTCCCTTCCGACACCCCCTCCCCCCGGCTGATCTCGAGAAACCAATCGGAGTCGAGCCCTAGTGTCATTCGCCGCAGCTACTTCCTTTCCCAACGACGAATGATCACCTTGTTACCCCCCCCCCCATCATAAGCTTCTCATGCTACTTCCCCTAGTCCATTCCCTGACATGACGACCTGCTCCCTGGGACCTGCTCCCTAGGCCCTCCCCCCTCTACACTCACCCCCACACATGCGACCTACCGTCCCCTACACCATCGTCCCCATGCGACGCCCCTTTTCCTAAGACCCCCCCCCCATCCCCCATCTGACGAGCCTTTGCCTAAGCTTCCTCCTCCATGCGCCGACCCCTCCCTCCCTCCCCCTGAGCAAATGCCCTAGCAACACGAGAGGGACGCATTTCAGCGTTCTACCGGGATCATGGTTTACCTCTCGTTCTTCTGGGATTTACTCTCCTGTTCTCCTCTCCTCTCCTCCCTCTTCCTCTTCTTCTCCTCGGCTGTTTTCTTCTCCCTTTCCTTTCCCTTTCCGTGTCTCCTACGTTACATATCTGTCTTGCTCCGGGTGCCAGCGTTAACCAACCCGGCAACGTGGACAGCGGAGTGAGTGCCAGCCGTGACCACGGGGGGTGGGGAGGGAGGGAGGGAGGGAGGGAGGGAGGGAGGGAGGGAGGGAGAGAGAGGAGAGAGAGGAGAGAGAGGAGAGAGAGGAGAGAGAGGGAGAGAGAGAGAGAGAGAGAGAGAGAGAGAGAGAGAGAGAGAGAGAGAGAGAGAGAGAGAGAGAGAGAGAGAATCGAGGTCACACCAACCGAGTCGCGAGAGCACGGAGGACGAAGGCTAAGCATGACAAATGGTCAAAACTTCGAAAATAGATACTGATGTGAGTGACCCCCCCCCCTCCTGTGAGCGTAGGGCCGGGCATGTGATCGGCGTGGCGGCCCGTCAAAACGCCGACTACCCCCCTCCCCCTTCTCTCCCTCCCTCCCTCCGAACGGGCGCCCCCGCACGTGGCGACGGAGGTGCTTCTAAGCTCCCACATGCTTCGCCGCGATCCATCACCGCCGCTGACCGTCGCGCCGCCACCGCCGCCACCGCCGCCGCCGCCCGCGAGTGTGGCAAGTGAGCGCACCAGCCAGGAATGCGCATGACGGCCGCAGACGCAGAGCCCTGACTTAGTGTGACAACTGCAAACGTGATACGACTCCAATGCAGGGTGCCACAGCGCGAGGGAGAAGGGGAGAGAAGAAAGGGAGAGAGGAATGGAGGGGGGAGAAGGAGGGGACGAAGGCATGGGTATGAACCGGGGCTGGGCACCGGAGTGACCGCTCTGCTTAGAGGGCACGGACAAAGGAAAGAGCGCGCGCGCGCGGCCCGAACGCCGACGCTGCCCGCTCTAGTGCCAAGAATGTCTCACTTATTTCACCCTACTGACATCTCGGCAAACACCTGCAATCACGCCTTTTCCCCTCGGCCGCCTGACCTCGCTTACCAGATCCCGGGTCCCTTCCCCTCCCCCTCCCCTCTCGACGCACCGGTGTGCACACGCGGACAAAGAGACAAAGCGCGCACAAAAAGCCCGAGAAAAGGAGGAAAGAGGAGACGAACCGGTGGAGACGGTTATAAAACTCCGGGCGTCAGACGAGCAACGACCGGTTCACAGACTCGGAAACCGGACGCCACAAAATCGAAACCGAACGGCACACTTTTCCCCCCCTCTGCGTTCATCGCCAGGCCGGATACGAGGGGCTAAATCTGGGGAACGTCTGAGCTTCAAACGGACACGCGCTCCACTCCTGCGGTCGTTCCTAAGTTGGGGGGTGGAGAGAGAGAGAGGGAGGGAGGGAGGGAGGTTAGAAGGGGGTGCTCCGCGAAGGGAATGGGTTGGGGGGGTTTGCGTAAGGAGGGAGGAGAAGGAAATGCTCTACGACGGCGACGGCGAGGAGGAAGGGAGGGGCACAAGTGGGAACATAACTTCTTGATGTCCGCCATTTCCGTCTCCGCGCTTCTGCCTGCCTGCCTCCGTGTCCGTCCCACAATCCACAAACTAAAAAATGGTCAGTAAGACACCCTGGAATATTTCTCTAATACGAAAACAACGCTCGGCTGAAGCCTGCATACAGACACAGACACACAAAGACAAAGACAGACAGACAAGAAGGCAGACGTCGACAATTACGCTGGTGCGAGCAAGGTACCGAGAGTGACACTTGCACATCACAATTAACGGAGTGCCAAGCACCGACATACGCCCATCCATCCACCCTTAACTCCGCCCACTGTGTCAGTGTCACATGGCTGGTGGGGTGAGAGGGAAATGAGACGGGAAATAGAAGAGGAAAAGGAATAGGAGAGAGGAGAGAGGAGAGAAGAGAGAAAAGAGAAGAGAGAGAACAAGGAAGGGAGTATGAAGTGGGGAAACATGATAGAGGCAGGGAAAAGAAGGAAGGGGAGGCGCGGAGGAGGGAAGATTGGGGAAGAAGACAGATCAGAAGGAAAGGAAAGTGAGGAAATACGAGATCGCCGAAACACACCAGGTAAATTCGGTGAGGGGAGACAAGCGCGGAGGTAAATGAAAGCGAAGGGCTCCTAAAACAGGGGATATTACACTGAAAGGGAGAGAAAGAGAGAGAGAGAGAGAGAGAGAGAGAGAGAGAGAGAGAGAGAGAGAGAGAGAGAGAGAGAGAGAGAGAGAGAGAGAGAGAGAGAGAAAGAAAAGAGAGAAAGAGAGAAAGAGAAAGAGAGAGAAAGAGGGAGAGAAAGAAAGAGAAAGAGAGAAAGAGAGAAAGAGAGAAAGAAAGAGAAAGAGAGAAAGAGAGAAAGAAAGAGAAAGAGAAAGAGAGAAAGAGAGAAAGAGAAAGAGAAAGAGAGAGAGAGAAAGAGAGAGAAAGAGGGAGAGAAAGAAAGAGAAAGAGGGAGAGAAAGAAAGAGAAAGAGAGAGAGAAAGAAAGAGAAAGAGGGAGAGAAAGAAAGAGAAAGAGAGAGAGAAAGAAAGAGAAAGAGAGGGGGGGGGACTACGGAGACGACTGAAAAGCGTTGTCGTACCTGGCGAGCACCTGTCGTTTAGTCACTGTCAAAAGGCGGTTAACCAAGTTGGCAAGCATGGGAGACATCTGGTCACCATACGACCAGCGACAGGGCGGGGACACTTGGGTGGAGAAGGGGCGGGGGATGGAGCGAGAACAGTGGGAGTGATTGAGAGGATGGAAAGGTAGCAAGGGACGGTGGGAGACCGAGACAGAGAGAAAGAGGGAAGAGGTGAGCAGAGGGGAAAAAACGAGAATAGGGAAAACGAGAATAAAGAATGCAAAAGAGAGCATATTCCTCCCCTTCCCCTACGAATACGACGTTCAGAAAAAAAAGCTTGATGAAACACACCAATCAACAGGGACACGCTAACGAACAAACCGGACACAATACCTTTAAAGAATACACTGGTTAAACGCTTGAAAATAATCACAGCAACAGAACGATCCAACTTTTATTTTATCTTTTTTTTGCAACAAGCTAACTCAAATCGGAAGCCCAATTACCCATCAATCTGTCGACACTAATTAGCAATCTCCTTCAGCGCAATTTGTCGACCTTGTTTACAATCACGATCAAAATTACAATCAGCACCAAACCAATCGCAGCTCAGGTCAACTCCCGTCCATACACGCTCAAGCAAACGCCCAAGCACACCCACACTTACGTCCACCCTCATACATCCACACGCACAAGCACACGCACACAAACATCCACACGCACAAGCACACGCACACATACATCCACACGCACAAGCACACGCACACATACATCCACACGCACAAGCACACGCACACATACATCCACACGCACAAGCACACGCACACATACATCCACACGCACAAGCACACGTACACATACATCCACACGCACAAGCACACGCACACATACATCCACACGCACAAGCACACGCACACATACATCCACACGCACAAGCACACGCACACAAACATCCACACGCACACCAACATGAAGGGGTAAAAAAAATATATATAAATACTCACCACTGTGATGGGGTAAGCTGGATTTAAGATGGTCATAAGTAAGACATGGTTGGGCGTCTCTGGCTCTCCTTTCCTGCAAAGAAATAAAAAAAAATCATTAATCGTGGCGAAAAATTGCACACCAATTAAGAACATAAATGACAACCCCAGACATACAAGTAAATGGGAAATAACCAATATAATACAAGAACAATGGAAACAAAAAAGACAACAAAAAAGTAGGAAGAAAACCGCCGCCATCATCAACAAATTGCGACCCACAACCACACGTTCGAATCCCTTGGACGACCACGACTTCGAGACGGACTTGGAGAGAGGCGGCCAGACGGACGTGCCCCGCGAAGTAGGATCTTGAGGGTCGCTTTTATTACCCTGGGATGTGCGACGCTGAGGGTGGCGGCGGCGGCGGCGATAACGCTGATGGAAGGCCAGGATGGGGGCGGGAGGTGCAGGGGGCCAATGGAGGGGGGGGGGGAGATAATGTGTGGGAGTTTCTGCAGGTGGAGAAGGGAGGGAGCGAGGGAGGGAGAGGGGAAGAGTGAGGAAGAAATCGACGAGAGTGGAGGGCGAGGAAGGAGTCGACGACGACGACGACGGAGGCCGAAGACGAAGGCGACTCCGTGGGCGGGAGGGCGGCGCCCATCCTCCTCCTCCTCCTCCTCCTTCCCAGGTGAGCTCCAGTGACCGCCAAGGTCACCGAGTCGCCGAAGGAGGAGCGAACCAGGGAGGGTTATTCATCGATCGTGCCTGAGCCGTGTCCGGGGCCTACACACGCCCATCTTCTCTCGCACCTCCCACGCCCCCACTCCCCCATCCCTCCCCTCCCCTACCAAGTCCTTACCCTCAGCCCACTGGCACCTCCCACACCACTAGCCCCCCTGCACACACCCCGCCCACACCGCCCCACCTTCGCACCCACCACACCCGCACCACCACGCCCACGCTGCTGCTGCTGCTGCTGCTGCCGCTGCCGCCGCCGCCGCCCTCGGGAGAGCCGCCACTCAACCGACGCCGCTGCCATCTTCCTTCAGCGAGAACGAAAAGGTTAAAGAAACACTGCCGCTAGAACCATCATCCCCCAGGAGCCCAGAACAGGAGGACACACGAGAGAACCGTAAGGGACAAAAGCAATCCTCGGCAATACGGAGCGAGTACCAAAAGCCGAACAGCCATCTAACGCAGCGACGTAGCCCGGCGAGAAGAACCACTTACAAATACCGAAGACGCGACGAACCGACCGACCGACCGACAGAAAACCAGAGAACCGCGCCAATAAACCATTATCCCCTCCTCCTCCCTCCACACACAGCAGAACCAAGGCCCAAGAGCCAAACAAACGCGAAAAGACCGCCGAGCCCGCGAAGGGCAATAAAACCAGCGAACCAACTGCCGAACCCTAGCAACTTGGGCCACCCACGGCCTCTGATTCATGGCGGGGGGGGACAAGGGACACAGAGGGGGAGTTATGATGGAGAGGAGGGGGGGGGAGAAGGGGAAACGAAGGAGGCAAGAGAAGGAAGGGGAAACAAAGGAGGAAGGAGGAAGAGGGGGAAGCGGAAACAAAGGAGAAAGGAGAAAGTGGGGAGCGGAGGAGGAAGGAGGAGGCAGAAGCGAAGGAAGAGGAGCAATAGGAGGAACGGGAGGAGCAGCAGTAGAACGAGACAGTATCGAGACCATAAATCAGGTAGGAGTTCATTAAGCAGCCCCGACTCGTGCGTCCATGTTAATTGGTGCGGGGCCGTGGGAGCGGGAGAGTCGCCGTTAATATCTGCTCTTGCAACAGTCGCAACCGCCGCCCTTGATAATCCGAGCCAGCTGTCGACGACGCCGCTCCAGCTGCACATCGTCGGCTCGTTCCAGTAACGTGCCACTATTATTGCCTTTCCTGCTGCTGCAGCTGCCCCCCGCCCTGCTCCTTATCCCAGGAGGATTAGCACACGCTGCTCCCCTCTGCTTGCCCTCGCGCCCTCGCACTTCCTCGCCCCCCACCCCCATCTCACTCCACGCCACTGGAACACACACAACGCTAGACCAAACGCGTATATACATATATCAATAAACAAATTTACAATTAAGTACACAAATAAACGCGCGCAGACGAGAGAGCGAATGGCAACACCAACAGCAGGCGGGTGAAGTGACACAAAAGTGCACGCAAAGACAAGCCGGCCAATGTTTGTCCTTAATTATGCAAATCTTAAAAAGCGGCCATCAATCCGGCTTTATGCCCCATCCCCTGCTCACTCCGCTTGTTATCACGCCTCCTTCCCTCCCCCCACAAGGACTTGGAGTGGGAAGGAGGGAGAGGAGGAGGGAGAGGAAGGAGGGAGAGGAAGGAGGGAGGGAGGGAGAGAATGAGAGAAGAAGAGAGTGAGAGGCATGGGGAGAGGGAGAGGGAGAGGGAGGGAGAGGGAGAGGGAGAGGGAGAGGGAGAGGGAGAATAAAAGCGCGCCAAGAGACCCCCTCCCGCCCTACCGTTCCCTCCCTGACCTGAATCCTCCTGTTATCCTTCGTATTATCTGATGGGATCCACATCTGTCCCTTCCCAGCCCTCGCCCCACCCGGCCTTCCCGTCCCCCGTGTCTTCTGTTCCCCTCATTCTCTCCCCTTCTTGACGTCTTCCCCTCGCCAATGCAGCCGCCTCCGTTTTTTTTAATTCGCTGCATCACTTTCCTTTTTGTTTTTGTTTTTGTTTTTACGAGTTCCGTTTGTTTTTTTTTCTGGTGACCGTTTGCAGAGTATAGAAATTTCAGAGTTTCTTCTGTTCATATCCAATAAATATGACTGGGTTCTAGTTTAATGATCTTTAAGTACTGCCATTATTTCCCATAAATGAATTTACACAACCCTGTACATTTAGCACCCCCCCCCCCCCCGTTTTAATGATCATTTCCGTAGCTATTCTGCAAATCTCATGAGCATCCTCCGTGACCATGGATTAAAATGAAAATTGCGCTGCATTCTCCAACTTCCCTGTCTCTATTCCATTTACTTTTTTCCGTTCTTGCCATTCGTTCTTCGCCCCTTACTCTCCTTTTCGCCTATGCCTCCCCTCCATAAATTCCTTTTCTCGATGACTCGTACAAGTGCAACAGTAAATTACAAGGAGTTTCTGTACCTCCAGAACAAGATGCAACACCGTCGCAAGAGTAACAACCCTCCATGAATAAAGAGGCATTCGTACTATAACGATAGACGTGAGTGGTGGGCGCGGAACCAGACGTCATGATGGCTGGCAATAATATTAAGGGGGAAAAGGTGGCGAGTAAACCATCGCCAGAACACGGGGCACGGGGTGGGGGGGGCGCTTTTGGAAGCAACTGTATCTCTTCGATGAACTCGATGCTATTTTCTTTAAGTAACTGTATCCCTTCCCTGTACCCTGCCATTCCCTGTACCCTGCCATTTTTCACCGTTCTCTTTCCTCTTCTACAGTCACTGCAATCTTCATCTTGCTTATAAATTTCTCTTGCTTTATTTTCCCCATCATCGCTCCTCATTCAGCGATTCTTCTACCTCCCTTTCCGTACATTTCTGTTCCATATTGCCCCCTCGCTTGGCTACCCCCCTCCTGCCTTGCCTTCTCACAATGACGCGTTCCTGTGTCGGCTAATCTAAAATACTTGTCGACCAAACGAACTGTGAATCCAAACTTCAGATCGACTTTCTTCCCTCATCTCCCCCCATCCCCCCTCCTCCTCCTCTTATTCCTCTCCCTCCCTCTTATTCCTCTCCCTCCCTCTTATTCCCTTTGCTCCCCTATTCCCTGCGGAAAAAAGAGGCCTACTAAAAAAATCCAAAGAACTCCAGAACGTTTTTTTTTCGTGACGCGCGACGAATTCCCAGAGAGCGGTGGACAACCGAAGGGAATGTATCACAACATACACTGGAGGCGGGAAGGCGGGAGGGCGAAGGCAGGGCGGAAAATCGGGGAGAAGACCAAAGGGGGGGAAATTGCGCCAAGGGGGAAAATGAGGGTGAAGACAGGGCGAAGCAAGGAGCAGCAGGACAAGGCGAAGCTGTGTAGGTATGCGAGCGCACGTTTCCCAACCACTTACGTACACACTGCAGCCGAGCCTACGAGCGTGACATCAAAGGTGCCGCAGCTCGCTCTCGCCCCACTATCCCTCCCCCTCCCGCTTCCCCCTGATAGGACGTTCACCAGGACGACCATGAGAGACGGGACAGGAGAGATCTCCGCCCACAAGACATGGAGGAGGAGGACAGAAGAGAGAAGAGAAAGACGCGATATGAAAAAGGGGAGAGGTGAGGGAAGAGAGGAAAACTCACGAGAAGGGAGAGCCCTGCACGCGCCGGGCCGAAGGGGTCTACAGCCATCTGCCAGCCAGCAGATTAATGGCGGCGATGGGCAAATACAGCAAAAATATTCCGAAACCCAGCAGCTCCTCCATGTCTGACAGTTTATTTACACGAGTATTTAGCGTCTCGCAATATTTACATCTCCGCCGCGGGGCCCATTAGGAGCCCGGCAAAGCGCCTCCCGACTCCCCAAGCCCCAAACCTTAACCCCCCCGGCCCCCCCTTTAAAAAACAATCCCCCACTACCTACCCCTCCCTCGATCGCGGCGTGGCATGCGCCCAAGCCCGACTCCTCTTAAAATGTGTGGTGAATGTGCGGCATGTCGGCCATAAAACAATCATGTGTCGCCTCTTGCACACAGCCGGCCTCGAAAACTCGAAAACGGAGTGCGAGAAGCCTTATCAAGGTGCAAGGCGAGGGGGGGGGGTAGGGGCTGGAGGAGGACGAGGACGAGGGCGACGAGGACGAGGTAGAGTGAGTCAATGACGAGACGGACGAGAAGCAGCATTCCTGAGCTCAAGGTATAGGGACACGAGGAAGCACGAGGAAGAAAAGGGAGGAAAGAGGGGGAGGACAAGGAGGACGAGGAGCAGCAGCTGCGGCGAGCCCGATCCAGGCGCGACGCGGCTGAGACAACGTCCCTTTAACCCATCCTCGCTCACCGCCGTAACACCGGGTGACACTTTACGGCCGCGTCCCGAAACAACCATTCGGTCAGACGCGCAAATGATTACAGCAAGACGGCGCGAGTC